ATCAATCTTTCAAAAATTAATAAGAGATTTAAAAATATAAATCAATTTACTGAACTAGTTTAAATAGTTATTACTATTTGAACAATTGTATACTTCAAATCGTTATAACTTTTTGTTCTATCATAAAATAATTTTTTTATTCATACAAGCTTATTCAAAATAAAATAATACTAATATAAAAATATTCCAAAAATTAATAACTAAGAGATTTAAAAAATAAATTTGTTTGTCAAACTAGTTTAAATAGTTAAGGCTATATGAACAATTATCTATTTCAAATCATTTTTGTTTTGACATAAAACAAAATTTTCACTTCATACTAGCTTATTCAGAATAAAATAAAATGAATTTATTAATATTTCAAAAATTAATATGTAAGAGATTTAAAAAATAATTCTATTTACCTAACCAGTTCCAATAATTATGACTATTTGAACAATTATCTATTTCAAATCATTATAACCTTTTTTATTGTCATAAAACAAATGGTTTTATTCATATAAGTTTGTTCAGAATAAAATAATACTAATCTATTAATATTTCAAAAATTAATAATAGATTTAAAAAATAAATTTGTTTATCAAACTAGTTTAAAAAGTTATGACTATTTGAGTAATTATTTATTTCAAATTGTTATGATTTTTTGTTCTATTACAAAACAATAATTTCTATTAATAAAAACTTATTCAGATTAAAATAATACTAATTTATTAATATTTTGACAATTAATAAGCAAAATTTTTAAAAATAAATTGTTTACCAAACTAGATCAAATTGTCATGACTATTTGAATAAGTATTTATTTCAAATCTTTATAACCTTTTGTTTTGTTATAAAAAAATTATTTTAGTTAATATCAGCTTATTTGAAATAAAATAATACTAAGTTATTAATATTCTAAAAATTAATAATTAGATTTAAAAAATGAATCTATTTACCGAACAAGTTTAAATAATTATGACTATTTGAAGAATTATCTATTTGAAATTGCTATAACTTTTTTTTGTCACCAAATGATTTTTTCTATTCATACAAGCTTATTACAATAAAATAATACAACATTAGTATTAAGACAATTAATAGGTAAAAGATTTAAAAAATAAATTTGTTTACTAAACAAGTTCAAATCCTTATGAGTAATTAAACAATTATTTATTTCAAATTGTTATGACATTTTTTTGTCATAAAACAATTGTTTCTATTCATACAAGCTTATTCATATTAAAATAATATTAATTTATAAATATTTCAAAAATAATAAGTAAAAGATTTAAAAAATAAATATGTTTATCGAACAAGTTCAAATAGTCTTGACTATTTGAATAATTATCTATTTCAAATCATTGTAACCTTTTTTTTGTAATAAAACAATTGTTTCAGTTCATATAAGCTTATTTGAAATAAAATAATACTAATTCATGAATATTTAAAATTAATGAGTAAGAGAATTAAAAATTAATTTGTTTATCGAATATTTCCAAATAGTTATGACTATTGAACAATTATCTATTTCAAAACATGATGACCTTTTGTTTTGTCATAAAACAATTGGTTTTGTTCATGCAAGCTTATTTTGAATAAAATAATATAAATTTATTTATATTCCAAAAATTAATAAGTAAAAATTTAAAAAATAAATATATTTTCTAATACGTTCAAATAGTTATGTCTATTTGAACAATTATCTATTTCAAATCGTTATAACTTTTGTTTTGTCATAAACAATTGTTTCTATTCATAAAAGCTTATTTGAAAAAAATAATACTATTTATTAAATTTTAAAAATTAATAAATAAAAGATTTTAAAAAATAAATCTATTTACCAGTGAGTTCAAATAGTTATGACTCTTTGAACAATTGTTTATTTCAAATTGTTATGATCTTTTATTTTGTCATAATATAGTTTTCTATTCATAAATTTTATTATATAGAAAATAATACTAATTTATTAATATTCTAAAAATTAATAAGTTGGAGATTTAAAAATAAATCTATTCACCGAACAAGTTCAAACAGTTATGATATTTTGTTTTTTGTAAAACAATTATTATTTATTCAAAATTATTTAGAATAAAATAATATTAATTTTTTAATATTTCAAAAATTAATAAGAGATTTAAAAACAAAATCTATTTATCAAATCAGTTCAAATAGTTATGACTATTTCAACAATTATCTATCTCAAATCATTATGATCTTTGTTTTGTTATAAAACAATTTTTTTTTGTTCCTACAAGCTTATTCGAAGTAAAATATTACAAAATTAATAATATTCAAAAAATTAATAAGTAAGAGATTTAAAAAATAAATATTTTTATCAAACCAATTCAAATAGTTAAGACTATTAGAACAATTATCTATTTTAAATCATTTTGACCTTTTGTTTAGTCATAAAATAATACTAATTTATTATCATTCAAAAAATTAATAAAAAAGAAATTAAAAAAAAATTTGTTTATCAAACAAGTTTAAATAGTTATAAATATTTGAACAATTATCTATTTATAAGAAGTATGACCTTTCTGTTTTATCATAAAATGATTGTTTCAGTTCAATAAAAGCAGATCTGAAATAAAAATAACATACATAACTTTATTAATATTCAAAATTAAAAAGTTAAAGATTTAAAAATAAGTCAGTTTATCAAATCGCTTCAAATAATTATAGCCATTTAAACAATTATCTATTTTTCACACACATCGTTCATTGAACTTTTATTTTGTCATAAAACAATTGTTTTTCATCATACAAGCCTATTTAGAATAAAATAATATTAATTTACTTAAATATCAAAATTAATAAGAGATATTGAAAAATAATTTTTTTTTACCAAACCAGTTCTCTACCACGTCAATCGGGGAGTCAAGTCTATCTGCCCTTTCAAAGGGTGGTCGGATGAGAAGGAGTAAGGAGCCCTTGTTCGTTTTGAGTGGGTGCCCTATTGTCTTAGGGGAAGAAACATATTAGAAGTAAGATTATGTATAGCTATGCATTCCTTGTTCTTTCTTGTTTGATAGTTTAGGAGTTAATGTAAATAAAAGGATCCACTAGACAAAACCAACATCTAAATAAATGAATCTCAAATCTTGGTATTACAAAGTAAGAAGAAATAATTTCCATTTCCTTTTCTGTAAGTAGAGTTACCTCAGCCAGCTAACTTCTTAATCCTTTCGTAGTCGGTGATTATGAAAAAAGAATATGAGTCCTTTAGCTCAGAAACACCCTTACACACTGTAAGGTGGTGTGAACCCTTATATACCAAAGTGACATTCTTTTTATGTCTGATGTTGGATTGAGGACTCCTCCTTAGGTTCGTGACATTTTCTCCCACCCAACCTCGTGACGCCCTCGTCATGGAAGCTGGCTACCTTACCTACTCTTTTTGGAGCACTTGGCATGGATTGAACAGTTTAAGGTTGGCTCTGATACCTCTTGTCATGGGTCGAGACTTAAGCTCTGACCCGTGTAGCTCTAGAACCCGGGCATCCATTCATCCAACGTCCCAGATTAGCATACCTATCACGGTTTACACTCTTGTGAGGTATTGTCTGCTCTAGCCTCTTTGGCCTCACAATTTTATCCTACAAAAGGTGCCTTACAAGGAGGAGATGGTATAAACCTTTTTATACCCCAATGACCTTCCTTTTATATTCGATGTGGGATTCAGGACTCCTCCTTAGGTCCGTGACATTCTCCCCTACCTAACCTCGTGACGCCCTCGTCACGAAGGCTGGATACCCTACCTACTCCCCTTGGAGTGCTAGGCGTGGATCGAACGATTTAAGGCTAGCTCTAATACCACTTGTCACGGGTCGAGACTTAAGCTCTGACCCATACGATTTAGGGTTTAGGGTTTAAGTTTAAGGGTTAAGGGTTAAGGTCTAGAGTCTAGGGTCTAGGCTAATAATGAAACTAAAAGAAATAATAAAATTAAAAGAAATAATGAAACTAAAAAAAATAATGAAACTAAAATAAAATACTTGCCTAAAATATATGATCCTTTCTTGTAGGGACCCTACCGTAGAAGAATCAAAAAATTGTTTTCACCTTTAAGTAAAAAAAAAAACACGGATCCGTTTTGGATAAATAAGATTCATGTTATACTTCTTGCTACTGATTATTACAAATTTGTAATATCTTGATTGTATTATTGCTCCCTTTCCATCAAAAGAGATAAGAGCCGGTGAATCAGAAACGATTAATTAAGAAAGAATAAGAAAAAAGTTTTTATGGAGCATACATATCAATATTCATGGATCATACCTTTTGTGCCACTTCCAATTCCTATTTTAATAGGAATGGGACTCGCATGGCCCAATGATCTTTTATAAATTTTTCTAGTAGTAATTCTCAGTACTATTGCTTGTAACATAGGCTTAGCAGTTCTAGAACCTTTAATGATTGGTGAACTCATGGATCTCACCCCAAGATGAGTGCTCTCCTATTCTGACTTCCCCAAAGCCTCTGGTAGCATAGCAGAGACGGTAAGGGGTTCTCTGTCCCTGCGGGGATCGAGTGATAGAGTTTTGAGAATTCAAGAAAAGGTCACGACGAGATGAGCCATTTATCATTACGATAGACCTCGTAGGTTAGGTACGGGTCTCCATAAATAGTATTAGAGCGGTACCAGTCCACAGTCATGGGAGTCACTAAGTGCTACACGATGATTTGGTGTGATCTTGGTCCTGTGGATGGACTCGGCTTGACAGGGACGTCAAGCATTAAAGATAGAGAGATTGTAACACCCCCAATCCCACATCAGGATGATGTGTAGATAAGAAATGATATATATATATATATATAGAGACTTAATCTCAACTAACAAGGCACCTTTTGTGGGATAAAATCGTGAGACCTTCGGGTCAAAGCTCATGGGTCTCGATTCACTATACATCCTGGAGGCATTAAGATGTATAAAGATTTGAAAGGAAATTTTTGGTGGAATAATATGAAATGTAACATAGCTCAGTTTGTGTCCAATGTTTAGTGTGTCGGCAAGTTAAGGCTGAACACCAAAGACCATCAGGGTTGTTACAACCTTTGGAGATACTGAAATGGAAGTGGGATCACATCTCTATGGATTTTGTGAATCTAAAGGGAATAATGCAGTGTGGGTAATTGTTGATAGACTCACTAAATCAGCTCATTTTTTACCTATCAAGTTGACTACTCTGCTTGATAAACTAGCACAATTGTACACGAATGAAATTGTCTGATTGCATGGAGTTTCAGTGAGTATTGTGTCAGATAGAGATTCTAGATTTGTCTCTAAGTTTTGGGTAAGCTTACAGCGAGCTATGGGGATAAATTTAAAATTGAGTACAGCCTTTCACCTTCAGACAGATGGGCAAACAGAGAGAACAAATCAGATTTTAGAAGATATGCTTCGAGCATGTGTGATTGATTTAAAAGGTAGTTGGGATGATTACTTACCTTTAGCAGAGTTCACATATAATAACAGTTACCAATCTAGCATTGGGATGGCTCCTTTTGAGGCCTTGTATGGTAGAAAGTGTAGATCCCCTTTATGTTGGGATGATGTTGGGGAAAGAAAACTTCTAGGACCAGAAATGGTGCAACTGATTGTAGAAAAGATTAAGGTGATTAAGGAGAGTCTTAAAGCAGCACAAGATGATCAAAAGAGTTGGGTAGATAAAAAGATAAGGGAGTTGGAATTTCAACAAGGGGATTTTGTTTTTTTAAAGGTGTCACCCACAAAAGGTGTTATGCGGTTTGGGAAGCGAGGAAAGCTAAGCCCACGTTATATAGGTCCATTTGAAATTCTTGATAAGGTGGAAAAAGTTACATATAGGATAGCCTTACCACCTCAGCTATCTGGTGTGCACAATGTTTTTCATGTGTCCATGTTGAGAAAGTATGTCTCTGACCCAAGTCACGTGGTAGAGTATGAACCTTTAGAAGTTCAAGAAGATTTAACATACTTGGAATATCCTATTCAAATAATTGATCGAAAAGAGCAAGTCTTAAGGCATAGAACTATTACCTTTATAAAAGTCTAATAGAGCAATCGTACACAAAGAGAAGCAACTTGGGAAATAGAAGATGATATGAAGAAACAACATCTTCAATTATTCAAAAATGAAGGTAAATCAAATTTCGAAGATGAAACTTTTTATAAGTTGGGGAGAATGTAATACTCATAAAAAAAAAGGGACTATTTAAGTATTTTTATAAGTGGGGGGACTCTTTAATAAAGAATGAGAAAATGCAGAGGACTTATTGATAAATAACCCAATTTTTATTAATAGGGTTAACTTTTCAGTATCGAAAGAAAAATAGAAACTTATTTCTCCTCTATTTCTTATACAAAAAAGATCAATTGAATGATTCCAAGTGAAGGGGAAAGAACAAATCTACAAGGAGAAATTGTCTGTTAGAGGTGAATAAATAATCTCTTTCAATTTTGGAGTATTGATGGTTAAGTCTTAAGGTGTATTTTGTAATCAAAAAACCCTAAAATTTTAGGGTTTCCATTATCCCTCTTTGGGCAGATGATTTAGACTTTAATTAGGGTCAAATTAAGTGTTGAGAAAGTTGGTAATGTGAATTTATTGTTGAAACAAAAATTTGATGGGAATAGAAAGGAAAATTTTTGTTTTGTATAAATCCTGATATGAATCCAGTGTTTGCAGTGATGAATTAAAGTTATATTCTGTATTAAAGGATTAAATACTGCTTTTATTATTATATATTGTTGGAAATCATGTTGAATCTACTTTTTAATGAAACAAATGGGAGTTGAATTTGAGTTTTTTATGAAGAGTTATCCAATTTTTACCTAAGGATGTGCAGGCTGCCTAGTAGCAGTAGTAGGGAGGAATTACGAAATCTTCCTTAATTTTTATACAAGGATTTATAGATTAAGCCATATATTTTTGGAAAGCTTATTGAGTCTACTTTCCAATGAAATAAGCGGAATTGAATTTGAAGTTACCTATGAATAAATACGTAATTTTTATGAAAAGGTATACAGGCTGTCTGGCAGCAGCATATGACGTGGATTTCAAAAATTGTTATAATTAATCCACAAAGAATCACGAAATGGGCCATATATGGTTAGAAATCTTGTCAAGTCTAGTTTCTAACGCATTCAAAAGCTTTTAATTCCGAATTCAATATCTTGAGTTATGGTCATTTTAGTGAAAGTAGCGCAGGCTGCCAAATTAATTACTCGAGTTATTACTTGTTTAACTTAATTGTTTTGGTATAAGTGGCCTCAAATGGGTTGATTAATTATTGTTATGTTGGAATTATCTTGAATAGGCTACTAATTTTGTGAGGGAGAAAAATTAGGTGGTGGAATAGGAAGAAGGTAAGTAGAATCTCACACACTTTGCTTGTTTTCGAATTTATGTATATATGTATGTTTCTAAATGAATGAATATTTTATTTTATTATTTTCGATGTATGAAAATAGGATCAAGCATATGATTATTTTTGTTTCTCTATATCAATGATGGATCATGCTTATGAATGAAATGAGAAAATGATTTATGTTTAAAGAATGATTTTGTGATGGCTACGTTTTTACATCATTGGGAAGTGGGATCATCGATACCAGAACTAATTCTACGGCCTTGGCTAACGGGTTATAGTAGTTAGCATAGACATGATCATATGGCCCTGCTAACAGGTTATAGTAGTTAGTGTAAGGCCCTAGCTGGTGGGTAATAATAGTTATCAATGATCATGAGGATGAAATTGTCGATACGACCAATGTCACGAGTTATAGTAATGACCGTAGCTAATGATAAACGATTGATAATGATGATTTATGATTATGATGATTTTTAATGATTGATCCATGATTTGGTGATATGTTTTGATTTTGATTTATGATGTATGAATGCTTAATAGAAAGCTGATTTTTAAACTATTTTTGACATTATGAGTTGATGAATGTTTTGAGAATGATCTATATGATATGTATGAAAAATGTTGTTTGATCTGGTGAGGTGTGTGAGCCTTTACTTACTGAGCTGTGATTTGCTCATTCCCTATTTTCTTTTCTTTTATAGATGTTATGAATGATAAGTATGATTAGCTTGAGAAGGGCTAGAAGAATTGAGCATTGGATAACTACTTAGAAATTAAGATTTTATGAAGTATTGTTTATTTTAGTTGTAATACTCGACTTTGAACTTTTGAAGACTTGTTATGTAGTTATGTTACATAATGAGAACCTTTATATTTAAGAGTTGTTCAATGGTTATGAACTAGGCTTCATATTGCTTTGAGGTTTTACTTCAAGGTAATATGGCCGTGTTATGTCTCGATTTGGGGCGTGGCATAAAGTGGTATCAAAGTGATCACCAGTCCGCAGTCGTGGGAGTCACTAAGTGCTACGCGATGGTCTAGTGTGATCTTGGTCCTGTGGATGGACTCGACTTGACAGGGACGTCAAGCATTAAAGGTGGGGAGATTGTAATGCCCTCAATCCCATATTAGGATGATGTGTGGATAAGGAATGATATATATATAGAGACTTAATCTTAACTAGTGAGGCATCTTTTGTGGGACAAAACCGTGAGACCTTCGGGTCAAAGTGGATAATACCTCGCAGGTTAGGTGCAGGTCTCCACAAATCGTATTAGAGCGATCACCAGTCCGTAGTCGTGGGAGTCACTAAGTGCTACACGATGGTCTAGTGTGATCTTGGTCCTGTGGATGGATTCGGCTTGACAGGGACGTCAAGCATTAAAGGTGGGGAGATTGTAATGCCCCCAATCCTACATCAGGATGATGTGTGGATAAGGAATGATATATATTTTGTGGAGACCCGCACCCAACCTGTGAGGTATTGTTCGCTTCGACCCAAAGGTCTCACAGTTTTATCCCACAAAAGGTGCCTCGCTAGTTGAGATTTAGTCTCTACATATATATCATTCCTTATCCATACATCATCCTGATGTGGGATTGGGGGCGTTACAATCTCCCCACCTTTAATGCTTGATGTCCCTGTCAAGCCGAGTCCATCCACAGGACCAAGATCACACCAGACCATCATGTAGCACTTAATGACTCTCACGACTGCGGACTGGTGATTGCTCTGATACCATTTGTGGAGACCCGTACCCAAGCTGCGAGGTATTGTCTGCTTTGACCCGAAGGTCTCTCGATTTTGTCCCACAAAAGGTACCTCACTAGTTGAGATTAAGTCTCTACATATATATCATTTCTTATCCACACATCATCCTGATGTGGGATTGGAGGCATTACAATCTCCCCACCTTTAATGCTTGACATCCCTGTCAAGAGCCGAGTCCATCCACAGGACCAAGATTACACCAAACCATCATGTAGCATTTAGTGACTCCCATAACTGTAGATTGGTGACCGCTCTGATACCATTTGTGGAGACCCGCACCCAACCTGCGAGGTCTATCGTAATGATAAATGGCTCATCTCGCTGTGACCTTCTCTTGAATTCTCAAAACTTCTATCACTCGATCCCCGTAGGGACAGAGAACCCCTTGCCATCTCGATTATGCTACCAGAGGCTCTGGGGAAGTCGAAATAGGAGAGCACTTATCTTGGGGTGGGATTCGCGGGTTCACCAATCATTGAAGGTTCTAGAACCGCTAAGCCTACGGTAAAAGCAATAGTACCAAGAATTACTACTGAAAAAATATATAAAAGATCATTGGGCCATGTGAGTCCCATTCCTATTAAAATAGGAATTGAAAGTGGCACAAAAGATATGATCCATGAATATTGATATGTATGCTCCATAAAAACTTCTTTCTTATTCTTTCTTAATTAATTGTTTCTGATTCATCGGCTTTTATCTCTTTTGATGGAAAAGAAGCAATAATGCAATCAAGATATTACAAATTCATAATAATCAATGGCAAGAAGTATAACGTGAATCTTATTTATCCAAAACGGATCCATGTTTTTTTTTTTAATTAAAATTGAAAACAATTTTTTGATTCTTCCGCGGTAGGGTCCCTGCAAGAAAGGATCATATATTTTAGGCAAGTATTTTATTTTAGTTTCATTATTTCTTTTAATTTTATTATTTCTTTTAGTTTCATTATTACCCTAGACCCTAGACCCTAGGCCCTAACCCCTAACCCTTAAAACCTAAACCCTAAACCCTAAATTGCACGGGTCAGAGCTTAACTCTCGACCCATGACAAGTGGTATCAGAGTCAGCCCTAAACCGTTAGTGCTCTAAAGGGAGTAGGCAGGGTAGCCAGCCTCCGTGACGAGGGCATTACGAGGTTGGGTGGGGAAGAATGTCATTGACCTAAGGACGAGTCCTGAATCCCACATTGAACATAAAATGAGGGTCATTGGGGTATAAAAATGTTTACACCATCTCTTCCTTGTGAGGCACCTTTTGTAGGACAAAACCGTGAGGCCAGAGAGGCAAGAGCGGACAACACCTCACAAGGGTGTGAACTGTGGTAAGTATGCTAATCTGGGACACCGGATGAGTGGATGTCCAGGTCTTAGAGCCATATCGGTTAGAGCTTGAGTCTCGACCTATGAAAAGAGGTATCAGAGCTAGCCTTAAACCATTCGATCCACGCCAAGCGCTCCAAAGGGAGTAAGCAGGGTAGCCACCTTCCGTGACAAAGGCGTCAAGATGTTGGGTGGGGGAAAATGTCACGGACCTAAGAAGGAGTCCTCAATCCCACATCGGACATAAAAGAAAGGTCATTGGGGTATATAAGTGTTCACACCACCTCACAACGTGTGAGGGTGCTTTTGAGCTAAAGGACTCCTATTCTTTTTTCACAATCGCCGACTACGAAAGGATTAGGAAGTTAGCTGGCTGAGGTAACTCTACTTGCCGAGAAGGAAATGGAAATTATTTCTTCTTACTTTGTAATACCAGGATTTGAGATTCATTTATTTAGATGTTGGTTCCGTCTAGTGGATCCTCTTATTTGCATTAACTCCTAAACTACCAGACAAGAAAGAACAAGGAATGCATAGCTATACATAGTCTTACTTCTAATATGTTTCTTCCCCTAAGACAACGGGGCACCCACTCAAAACGAACAAGGGCTCCTTACTCCTTCACATCCGACCACCCTTTGAAAGGGCAGACAGACTTGACTCCCCGATTGGACAGTGGTAGAAACTGGTTTGGTAAAAAAATTTATTTTTTAAATCTCTTACTTATTAATTTTTGAAATATTAATAAATTAATATTATTTTATTCTAAATAGGCTTGTATGATGAAAAACAATTGTTTTATGACAAAATAACAGTTCATAACAATTTGAAATAGATAATTGTTTAAATAGCTATAATTATTTGAAGTGATTTGATAAAATGACTTATTTTTTAAATCTTTAACTTTTAAATTTTTGAAAAATTAATAAAGTTATGTTATTTTATTTCAGATCTGCTTTTATGAGCTGAAACAATCATTTTATAATAAAACAAAAGGTCATACTTCTTATAAATAGATAATTGTTCAAATATTTATAACTATTTAAACTTGTTCGATAAACAAATTTATTTTTTTTATTTCTTGTTTATTAATTTTTTGAGTGATAATAAATTAGTATTATTTTATGACTAAACAAATTATCAAAATGATTTAAAATAGATAATTATTCTAATAGTCTTAACTATTTGAATTGGTTCGATAAACATATTTATTTTTTAAATCTCTTACTTATTAATTTTTTGAATATTATTAATTTTGTAATATTTTACTTCGAATAAGCTTGTATGAACAAAAATAATTGTTTATAACAAAACAAAGATCATAATGATTTGAGATAGATAATTGTTGAAATAGTCATAACTATTTGAACTAATTTGATAAATAGATTTTGTTTTTAAATCTCTTATTAAATTTTGAAATATTAAAAAATTAATTTTATTTTATTCTAAATAATTTTTAATAAATAGAAATAATTGTTTTACAACAAAACAAAATATTATAACTGTTTGAACTTGTTCGGTAAATAGATTTATTTTTTAAATCTCCAACTTATTAATTTTTAGAATATTAATAAATTAGTATTATTTTCTATATAATAAAATTGTATGAATAGAAACAACTATATTATGACAAAATAAAAGATCATAACAATTTGAAATAAACAATTGTTCAAAGAGTTATAACTATTTGAACTCACTCGGTAAATAGATTTATTTTTTAAAATCTTTTATTCATTAATTTTTTAAAACTTAATAAATTAGTATTATTTTTGTCCAAATAAGCTTTTATGAATAGAAACAATTGGTTTATGATAAAATAAAAGGTTATAACGATTTTAAATAGATAATTGTTCAAATAGACATAACTATTTGAACGTATTCAAAAAATATATTTATTTTTTAAATTTTTACTTATTAATTTTTGGAATATAAATAAATTTATATTATTTTATTCAAAATAAGCTTGCATGAATAAAACCAATTGTTTTATGACAAAACAAAAGGTCATAATGTTTTGAAATAGATAATTGTTCAGATAGTCATAACTATTTGGAAATATTTGATAAACAAATTAATGTTTTAATTCTCTTACTCATTAATTTTAAAATATTCATGAATTAGTATTATTTTATTTCAAATAAGCTTATATGAACTGAAACAATTGTTTTATTGCAAAAAAAAAGGTTACAATGATTTGAAATAGATAATTATTCAAATAGTCAAGACTATTTGAACTTGTTCGATAAACATATTTATTTTTTAAATCTTTTACTTATTATTTTTTGAAATATTTATAAATTAATATTATTTTAATATGAATAAGCTTGTATGAATAGAAACAATTGTTTTATGACAAAATAAAATGTCATAACAATTTGAAATAAATAATTGTTTAATTACTTATAAGGATTTGAACTTGTTTAGTAAACAAAGTTATTTTTTAAATCTTTTACCTATTAATTGTCTTAATACTAATAAGTTGTATTATTTTATTTGTAATAAGCTTGTATGAATAGAAAAAATCATTTGGTGACAAAACAAAAAGTTATAGCAATTTCAAATAGATAATTTTTCAAATAGTCATAATTATTTAAACTTGTTCGGTAAATAGATTAATTTTTTAAATCTAATTATTAATTTTTAGAATATTAATAACTTAGTATTATTTTATTTCGAATAAGCTGATATTAACTAAAATAATTTTTTTATAACAAAACAAAAGGTTATAAAGATTTGAAATAAATACTTATTCAAATAGTCATAACAATTTGATCTAGTTTGGTAAACAATTTATTTTTAAAAATTTTGCTTATTAATTGTCGAAATATTAATAAATTAGTATTATTTTAATCTGAATAAGTTTTTATTAATAGAAATTATTGTTTTGTAATAGAACAAAAATCATAACAATTTGAAATAAATAATTACTTAAATAGTCATAACTTTTTAAACTAGTTTGATAAACAAATTTATTTTTTAAATCTATTATTAATTTTTGAAATATTAATAGATTAGTATTATTTTATTCTGAACAAACTTATATGAATAAAGCCATTTGTTTTATGACAAAAAAAAGGTCATAATGATTTGAACTAGATAATTGTTTGAATAGTCATAATTATTGGAACTGTTTAGGTAAACAGAATTATTTTTTAAATCTCTTACATATTAATTTTTGAAATATTAATAAATTCATTTTATTTTATTCCGAATAAGCTAGTATGAAGTGAAAATTTTGTTTTATGTCAAAACAAAAATGATTTGAAATAGATAATTGTTCATATAGCCTTAAATATTTGAACTAGTTTGACAAACAAATTTATTTTTTAAATCTCTTAGTTATTAATTTTTGGAATATTTTTATATTAGTATTATTTTATTTTGAATAAGCTTGTTTGAATAAAAATAATTATTTTGTGATAGAACAAAAGGTTATAACAATTTGAAGTATACAATTGTTCAAATAGTCATAACTATTTAAACTAGTTCGGTAAATTGATTTATATTTTTAAATCTCTTACTTATTAATTTTTGAAAGATTAATAAATTACAATTATTTTATTTTGAATAAACATATATGATAAAAAACAATTGTTATATGACCAAATCAAAGGAAATAACAATTTGAAATAAATAATTGTTGAAATGGCCATAATTATTTGAACTGATTCGATAAACAGATTCACTTTTTAAATCACTTATTTATTAATTTTGAAATATTAATAAATTAGTATTATTTTATTTTAACTAAGCTTGTATGAATTCAAACAATTGTTTTATGACAAAACAAAAGGCCATAATGATTTTAAATAGTCAATTGTTCAAATAGTCATAACTATTTGAATTTGCTCAGTAAACAAATTTATTTTAAACTCTTGCTTATTAATTTTAGAATTATTAAAAAATTAATATTATTTTATTTTGGATAAGCTTTTATGAACTGAAATAAATGTTTTATGTCTAAACAAATGGTCATGATGATTTTAAATAAATAATTGTTCAAATAGCCATCACTATTTGAATTTGTTTGGTAAATAGATTTATTTTTTCAAATCATTTCCTTTTTAATTTTTTGAATGTTAATAAATTTAGATTATTTTATTCCAAATGAGCTTGTAAGATATGAAACAAATATTTTATGACTAAGCAAAAGGTTAGAATGATTTGAAATAGATAATTATTCTAA